TTACTCATCACTTATAATCCCCAAATAATCTTTTCCTTGGACTGATGTCAATTACCTTACGACAAATTCAACGTAAAATACTGCAGGGCGCAACACTGTCGTAACTTATTATTGTGAAGCGTAACATCTCTGCAATGTAATACTGCGGGACGTAATATTGACGTAATATTGCGGGGTCTAACATCATTCCCCCCTTTGGAACATTCGTCCTCGAATGTTGACTGATGCTCTTAGCATTTTCGTAACTTATAGCTCTTGTGAATACTTTAATACTCTTCTTTCCTTTCAAGCAGTTGCTCTGTGAATAAATCCAAAATCTAGGGTATTCCCCCCTTTAATCTTTTCATATTATGACCTGTGGTCGAAATCTTCCTAATCTTGCAACTGTTGTTACCTCCTGCCATGCAACCTGTATGACCCTGGGTTTGTAAGTGCACTTATGCGATTCATCTTTCCTTTTTCCTTTTATCTTTTAGTCAATATCTAGGAGTTACTTTGTATATACAAGGCTTAATAGGATGCCTCTCTGGGCCTCTATCAGTGTACTGAAGTCCTTTGCTCGATACTTTGTAGAACTTGCGAATAGGGCCATATCACATTTCATAGATCTGGTTACCCATTCATATGACTTTACTGCATTTATATAGGTTATACTATACAATAATTTTTCTGCTTCAATCTACCTTTACTAAGGTATTCTTACCAAGTTCCCAGTTACTTTTGTTACCTATCCTTTAGGTATAAATCTCAGTCCTTCAATGCTCCTTCATTCCCATTCGTCTTAAGAATGACGGCCTAATCTCATCTCATACTTTGTGACTTTTGTCCATCCATTGTTGATTCACCTCAATATTAATCTACAATATACCATTGATAACTTGAAACTTCTTACGCCATACCTTGCTAGTAGGGCTAACGTTCCATCGAGGAATATTTGAAGTGATTTTCCTGATCCACTTAGGGGTGATACTATACTTCAATGACTGTATTTTATAGCATCCCAATATGATTCACTTATGTGGGTATTTTAATCTCGTATAATTGATGAAATCCTCTTCAAATCATTACATACTCGAAGTTCTAAACGTCATTCTTTATCCATCACAATTACACCCTCATGGTACTATCAGGGCAACATTCCATCTTTTCTAAATGCTACTAGTTTTAGACTCCTTTGATTTCATTCAGGCTATACTGGCTTTCTATAACTTAGAGAAACCATCAGCTCTTCTTGTTTTCATGGATTTAATCCTCAGGACTTATCCATTCTCGTCACCTTTTCACTTACCTTTCCTCATCTTTACTTATGTTCCCTTAAAACTTTGTTGCTTTGCCATACTTTA